AAAAATAAACCAAAAGTGTCAATTTCAACAAAATTTAGGGATCATTTTTGTAAATTAGACCAATTTCCTCATAAAAATCATAGTTTTTCATAGAGTGATTGTTACGGAACTTTTGGAAGCGTTTGGGAGCTTCTATCTTCTAGTTTTTGATAAAACGTTATAGTTTAAACAAAAAACTTCTTTTGGCAGTAATAGTGTATAGCTTTTAGAGCATCCACAATGAAGAGTTTAATGAAAGAGTTGAATGAGGTGTCATGTCTACTTGTCATTTAAAGGATACAACTCCACCATTGTGAAATGTCACCTTGGCATTCAATAGATTTGGAGTTCAATGACCATTAAACTCTTCAATAAAAAAAAGTCTTTAAATCTTTAAATAAATATTTCTTAATAGACTAAACTGCACAAATGGTCCCTGTGGTTTACTCAAAATTGCCACTTTGGTCCAAAAAGGTTTGTGCTAGCACCAGAGGTCCAAAGTTTTTATTTTGTTGCTTGTTTGGTCCAATCTGTTTTGATTTTTTTCAAAATGACGAATTTGCCCCTGTTAATATGATTTTCTTTTTTTTTCTTTTTTTTTCTAACTTCCAGATTAAAAATAATAAAATATAAAAAATAAAAATAAAATAAATTTGTCTCTCTCTTATATTTATTTTTCTAATTTTTAGATTTAAAAAAAATAATAAAAATAATAAAAATAAATCTCTCTCTCTCTCTCTCTCTCTCTCTCCCTTTCTCCCTCTCTCCCATACTTATTGTTACTGCGTCCCTTCTTCTTCTTTTTCTTCTTCTTCTGTTTTAATCGAGAAAACCTCCACCGGAGGTGGGGTTTTTCGGATATCAAGAGGGCAACAACCCCCTCCCGTTTTCCTTGTGCTTATCGTCAGATTCATAGTAACCCAAATGCCCCCACCTATTGGAGTCGTCGATCTAGAAACCCTTCATCGGAGCCAACAGAGTCGTCGATCTAGAAACCCTTCGATCTGGAAACCCTTCGTCGGAGTTGTTACCACAACCACTGATCCACACCGCCTCTGCTGTTGAACCTCTATGAAAACCCTTTGATCTTGAAAACCCTCTGATATGATAGCCTTCGTCAACCAGAAAAAATCGATGGTGAAGAACGAAGATATGAAAGATCTAGGGTTTTTTGAGGAAGATCGAGAGAGAGAGAAGAGAGAGAGAGAGAGAGAGAGAGAGAGAGAGAGAGAGAAAGAGAGAAAGATATTTTCCTTTGATGGTTATCACATTTTCGTTAGGGTTTCAAGACAGTGGTTGCAACACTCGTGGTGAGGGTTTCTCTGTGGGGAATACGACGTTGATGATAGGAACGGCTAGATCTGAGCAGACATATTGGTTGCCATACATCGAAGTCGCTGAACACATTCTCGTGCTAGACGTCAGAGTCGCCGGATTCACCACTATTTTCTCTGTTCATCTTCTTCAGTGGCCGTTTTTGTTCTCCGATGGTTATTTCAAGTAAAGACTAGGTTTTCTGTGGAAAATTTGAGAGAGAGAGAGATTTATTTTTATTATTATTATTTTTTTTTAAATCTGAAAATCATAAAAATAATATGAGAGAGAGAGAGAGATTTATTTTTATTTATTTTTTAAATCTGGAAATTAAAAAAAATAAGAAAAAAAAAGAAAATAATATTAACAGGGGCAAATTCGTCATTTTGAAAAAAATCAAAACAGCTTGGACTAAACAAGCAACAAAATGAAAACTTTGGACCTCTGGTGCTAGTCCAAACCTTTTTGGACCAAAGTAGCAATTTTGAGCAAACCACAGGGACCATTTGTGCAGTTTAGTCTTCTTAATATGTTCTATTGAATTTGTAGAGTTTAATGCATTGTGGAATAAAAATGAATAGAATTGTATGGAATAGTGAATTATGATGTGACGCTCCATTGAACTTTTTAGAGTTCAATGCATTGTGGATGCCCTTAGTTTTAACAAAACGTTCCGATTCTAAAAGTTACATCATGTAGCATTTAACAAAACGCTCGTGAGCTTTTGAAATCAATTTCTATAATTATCCTTAAAATATATATTTATATATTTATTTATTTTTAATCAATTGTCATTTTATGTAATTTTATATATTTCAAAAGCTTCCAGGTACTTTTACCAAACATACATATAATAAATAAAAACTACAGCTTCCCGCTACCAGCTACCTGCTACACTCTACCAACTAACAGCTACCCGCTTTCAGCTAACATCTACTTTTGCCAAACACACCCCATATGTATATTAATAAGGGGTCAGTTAATCCCCCCCCCCCCCCTTCTCTTTTTTTCCCTTTTTTTTTATCCCCTCTCATATATATATATATATATATATATATATATATATATATATAATATTTTTAAATATATAATTATATAAGTATATTTTTTAATATATATTATTATAAATAAAAAACAAATATAAATAATTAATCAACATTGCAATTAAATTGTCAAACAATAAAACTAAAACAATAATAATTATTATACATATTTAACCATTAAAACTAGAACGATAATAATTATTATACATATTTAGACGTTAAAACTAGAACGATGATAATGATTATACATATTTAGCCACTAAAACTAGAACGATAATAATGATTATACATATTTAGTCGTTCGATATACGATGATAATGGACGTTTGCATGTGGCACAATAGGAGGCATTGGGTACTCTCCTTCTAGCTCTAGCTTGACATAATGATCACCATAGACGAGGCCAATTGCAATAACAATGCGTTCATGAGCTGGTGGTGGAGTAGACCGAAGTGGTAAGTACGTTGTGCTAGTGTGTCGGCTAAAACAATGTAATACCAAGTTATATCTTGAAGCAATTAGGACACTTGTATCAGGCATAATCATCCAGTTTTGAAGCGGTGCTTCTTCACCAAAGAAATTCAAAGAGTTATATAGTTGAAACCGATATTCACTTCCAAACATGTCGCCATATTCAATAATATGTGTTTATAACTCTTCCATTAAATTAACTCAAATTTGGTACCATTCATCTTGATGGAGACCAAGACAAGAAACGATTGTACGGAATCTACAATGTCCATCACCTTCTACATTGTGTACCTGGTTAATGTAAGGATGTAGTACATTTGGAAATTCATTCATATATGAATATGAATAGTTTTGTTGGTCTGTATACGAGCTATGTCTTGGTGGTTCATGAATATTCGTGGAACTTAACCCAAGTTCATACATGTTTGAGCAATTATGTCTACGGGGATCTTCGATTGGCGCATCAACTCAATTATCTTTGAGAGGCTTTTTCTTCAAACTTGGTCGACCATAGGTAGTTTTATGAACAGTGGGTTCCAAAACTGAAGTTTTTGATGGGTTGATAGACTCTCTTAAATTCGTCAGAATGTTATGATTTATAGACCTTGGTTGCTTTTCAAAGTTCTCAGTAATCATTTTCACTTCATCATCACAATGAATATCATCATCATCTCCCATGTTTATGGGCGATGACAAAGTAAGTTTTCTCCAAAAACTATCAATTGAATCAAGTGGAAGAGACTTACTTGCATTAAAATACATGATTAGTTCATGTGCACATGATAACCCGTAACATGTACATAGTTCGAGGGAAGTCCCTTCAAATAATGGTGCGAGGAAAATGGGATCCATCGTCGATTTACCTTGGTTGTATACCCTCAGACAAACGGCCGGACTGAAGTATCAAACAGGACCATCGTGAATGGACTCATGAAACGTCTGATGAAAACAAAAGGGGTCTGGACAAAAGAGTTGCCAACAGTATTGTGATCATACCGCACCACCGCAAGGTTAGGGACAGGAGAGACACCCTTCAGCCTAACATATGGAACAGAAGCGGTGCTCCCGCTCGAGATTCTGATTGAATCATTGTGGGTAACCAACTTCGATGAAGGCCTGAACAAGGATGAACTACGACAAGACCTGGACATGTTAGACGAGAAACGTCAAGTTGCTCGACTACGATAAGCAGTCTAAAAGTCTGGTACAGAAAACTTTTACAACAAACGGGTACACGTAAAGAAGTTCAAGATAGGAGAATGGGTGTTGAGGAAGAATGAGGCTAGCCACTCGAACCCACTGGGGAAGCAAAGTGTTACCTGGGAAGGACCCTACAAAATAGTGGGGGCACATCGGGATGGAACATACACACTGGAAGCACAAGATGGGAGACCGATACCTTGAACATGGAACGCACGCAGCTTGCGCCACTTTTACTAGTAGAAACAACCGATAAAGGGCATAACCAAAGGAGCGGGTAATGACGCTCGGACCTCCGGCCTAAAAGCCACACTTTGGTCAAACGGTTTACATGAAGAAGTTTAAGTTGTCCTTAGAACTTTCCTATTAATCAAGTTTCATGAGATATTAGACTAACCTCACTAGTCAATATACACACACGCGTATGTAAAGCATAAATACAAACGCAAAGAACAATAAAAAGGGGGTGCATGGACTTGCTAAATGAAAACACGGGTTGATCACCCACATTGTCTGAGCAAAATGACCCACCAAAATGCAACCAAAAATCTCAGAAAGAGATGATCCCCCTACGTATACATCAATTTAAACAAGCAATAAAGTCGCCAGGCTTTTAAACCAAACGTTTTGAATGGGTCCGAAGGGTCATAACCTTCCTCTGACAATTTAGCACATACGATTCCAAGGGGCCTTGAGGTGACGACTTCGGCTCACCTTAAGAGGCCACAAAAGAGAGGCAATTGGCCACTCAATTAAGAGCCAGAAGCAAGGCCTAAAAAAATGCTCTTCGGGGAGACCCCCCCCCCCAACACACACACACACACACACACACACATATATATATATATATATATATATATATATATATATATAAAGAAGCTCGAAAGAACAGGAAAACGTTAGTGATTAAGAACTAGCAAAAGAGAATACAACAACATTCTACACAGTAAAAAAATGAGAAATAAAACAACAAACTTGCAAAAATAAATGAGAATTAACCCCGACGAGGTTGAGTCGAAGCAGTGCCCCCATCGCCACCATCTGGCACGTGTTCCTCCTCATTAGAGCACAATTGGCGAAGATCAACAAGGTTGAGCTCACCCAAACGAAGGTAGGACACGAAGTCCATCTCAGCAAAATGCCCTAATGGCAGCATGCATTGCATCAACAGATTGTGCCACAACGTCCTGATCAGACAAGCCAGGGCTATTACGATCTGACCAAGCGAGTGCTACCTACTTTCCCTTCCCTACACCAGCAGCCACACACACGGCCTTCACGCAATGAATCCCAAGCGCGAACTCACTACACTCAACAACATGGTCCACCGCTAAAACCACTCCCTTATGGAGAACCCACGCTAAATCAGCCTCCAAGATTTTCCTCATCGAGACCTCAAAGGTGAACTGATTGTCTCGCAGTGCCAAACGCTTCGCCAATGCTTCTTTCTCCGATACCAAATTTTGGACCTGCTGGGATAAAAGATCCACCTCCCCATCCAGGTTCGCCTCCTGAGCTTCCACAACAGTCTTTTCCCCTGACAGCATGAGGTAGCGCTTGTCAAACTTGTGTCGCTCCTCTTTGAGAAGCCAAACTTTCTCCACGAGCTCGTCACGCTCGGATTTAACAGCAGCCCGCTTCGCCACATCAGCCCCTATGTAACGAAGATGACCAACAGCCACCACCAAGTGGGGAGCAACCTGAGCAGCGGCATATTGAAGATCATTCGCCATGTGAGAATAAGAAATAGTGTCGAGAGCCTCCATGGTAGCTGGGGGAAACGCATGTCGACACCATTCACGAGCAAGTCCATGTTCTGGAAAAAGGGAACCGGGCACGAGACTCCACCCATGGAGATATACATCAGTCGCACCCAAAGACGAAGGACTCGCCGTCGACAGGGCATCGCCGGGAATAGAGGGAGGTACAAAGTAAGTGCTCATGACGCCTGGCTCCCCCGGCCAATGCAAATCCTCTTCCTCCACCACTTGCAGGTCGTCAGTATCAGCAATCTCAGTAACAAACAAAGGAATTAGAAAACAGAGGATCAATGTTGCGTTTCCGACGCAACTGCTAGCTGATGGAACTGCCACCAACATCTTCCTCGAAGGCGGAATCCAAAGCAGCAGACCGAAGACGGGGGACGACTTTACCACTAGCCACACCTGATCCTCGGACCCCCGCCTCGACAGGAGGGACATCACTCTAAAAAACAAGGCCAACTCTGCCTGGAGTCGATTGTGTCTCCACTTGAGGTACTTCGTGATATTGTAGGTACTCTGCAAAATCCCCTAATAGCATTTTCTCAAGAGATATAAATCTCTTGCTACCTGCAACACAAAAACCCCTTTTTTCTAAGCAACAAACACCAGATATAGATCATAGGAAAGAAAAAGGGGGGAGAGAGGGGGAGGGGGAAGGTAACACTTACCATCGTTATCCACAAAAAAAATGAGTCATCTTTCCACAAGACCGCCAAACAGCACTCATTCCGGCTGCTGCGAATACACAGTCTGACCAGTCCTTGCCATTGAAAGTAATTCCTCTTAACGTGCGAGACACCGACATACCGACCCCCAACAGCTGGGGTGCCCCGATCCGAAGACATAGGCACGTGAGGATAGCTGACCCCAACTAAATCACCGTTAACCCATAGCCATCAATCCTGCCAATTCTTCTGGGAAGCCTTCTGGTTAACTATAAAGGAATGTGTATTACGACACTGATAAAAAGTGTGAACGCCCGAATGAGTAGACGAATTGAAGAAAAACTGGAATGCTTGAAGATGGGGAAGCACTCCCAACGCTCGACACCCTAATTCAAATCCAACTATCTTGTTCACAGTGTTCTGGGTCAAGTCGTTGACAGAGAAACCATATTTTCGCATAACCTCATCAAAGAAACCAATTACGGGAAGTCGAAACCTGGCCTCGAAGATCGCCACCGGAATACCCACTTTCCAGCCGGTGGTTGATATATGGTAGACCCTTCCAAAGGGGATTGAACTCGATGCTCCGACATGAACCCAAATCGGAATTGAATGGACTCAAACTCCTCGGGCGTAGTAACACCTCCAGATCTAACAGAGTCCATCAAGAACCAGAGAGAAAAAATATGGATGAGATAAGATATGACAATAGAGGATGAGATGACAGATTATGGGAAGAGGAAGTGTATAACTGCTTATAAAGGTAGAGAACCCTTAAATAAAAAGAAAAAGGTGGAAAGAGAAGAAGAAAAATGGAACGAAGTGACGTTGTCTCGTCATAACGGCTCTATTATACATCAGGGGCTGTTCCCACCAAACGTGTGCCCAGATCTAAGCTAAAACTACTCAACTACCCTAAGCAAATGCTAACGTCTACTAGCCTAGGTGTGACAACCAATTATTTTGTATCTTGTAAAAGTCAACGAAAGTCAACTAAAGTCAAACATATCAAACTAAAGTCAAACTTATTGATTTGTTAGTTTAATAAAATTAAATTAATGTTTTTGATACATTTAAACACTTAATAAAAGTGTTGTATAAATTAGAAGTTGAATCATACAAAATCCAAGGATTCTCGCACCAACCGAAAACCCTCACAGACTTCTTTTCTTCTCTTTTCTTGGATCGAAAACCTTCGCATGAAGGAACAGCTGGCTTCGGACCGCAAACGGCTTTCGGCCGCAAACACCTCGGAGCGAAAACATGCGAGTCTGTTTCTAGAAGTCTTATCTCATCAGGTTAAGTTCCCAGTCAAAAACCTATGCCTCGGTTTGTGTTCTCAGCCGAGAACCCCTAAACCGACATGCTTTATACTTCCATATAAACGAAAATGAAGCTCATTCTTACACATATCAGCCGAAATTTCAACATTTTCTCTCAAGAAGTTCAACCGAAAACCTCCCCTTTCCTCTAAAGAACATGCGAAACTTCTCATTCTCATGAATTCCATGCAAAAATCCATTATTTCTTCATTGAATCTAGCAAGTATCATTCCTTGATCTTGTTTTCATTTCAAAAGCACCTTCCAGTCATCTTATACTGGGGCCGAAAACACCCAATTTAGTTAATTTTCACGAATAACACGAAGAAAACGAAAAACATCCATACACTGTTCTAAGGGTTATTGTAAGTCTTCTTACGATAATTAAGTGTTGTTTAACACTTTAAACATTACTATAGCATCTAATTTATACTTGATTTTGATATTAATATAAATTAGGATTCAGTTTATATTGTGGGTTCTAGCTTGTGAAATTAACGAGACTACACCGTATCATCAACCGGAAACTCACAAAGGTGAGTTCATACCCCTGCGTTTTTACAATTTTAGGGGGGGGGATACAAGTCTAACACAAGAATATTATGTTTACAAATAAATGATTTCTAAATATTTCTAAAACAATTTTAAATGTTCTATAAACACTTTTTAACACATATCGTACCAAAATCACACACACACACACACACATATATATATATATATATATATATATATATATATATATATATAAGATTTAAAGGGCTTAGGACTAATAATTCGTTTTAGTTTATTTTCCTTATTTTGATGTGGGCTTAGGGTAGAGTTATTTGTCCAAATGTCGTTTCAATTTTATATATATATATATATATATATATATATATATATATATATATATATATATATATATATATATATATATATGAATATAAAAGTTATTTCATTCAGTTTCATTATCCTTTGTAACATGCCGAGCAAATGGGGTACTTTAATGAATATTACAAGTCAAACAAAACACACATATAAATTATAATATGTATAATTTATGAAACTCTCATACTATGTTCATTAATCAGTTATACAAAGTTTGACAGTATACTCTTGTACGGATATTTTACGGTCAAGTATATTAGAAAAGGGACATACTACTAGTTCATTTAGTTCAAAATGACTTTTCATCATTTTTATGTACGTAATCGTCAATATGGTTTTTGTGAGACAATGTTCAGTTTCTTATTCATTTAGACAATACTATTTAAGTCTTGATATTCTAACCAGAATCTCCGGACAGAGAGCGAGACAAATATGTATAGATCTATACGGGATTGACAATCCTGCACTCAGACGGTTCACTACAGTTGGGCTGGTATGCCTATGAGTGACAAATGTCACTAACAGTTCCGGCACCTACAAAGCGTCATATCAGGCCATCTAGTCATAGCATGGTTATAATAACTCACAAAATGATATGAACAAATATGATTAGTGTATTATTAATTAAACCAAAGGGTACGAATACAAAGTACTGGTTTTACAATAATACTATTCACAATATTATATTATGATTTACAATTACAACTGGTGGAGCCAGACATACTCATTATTAAAGGGTTTTCAAAGAGTACAATTACAAAACTTGGAAAACATAAACAATACAGAAAACATTCTTTTTATAGTTTTATTGTGAGCTAAAACTATATCATACTATTTTATAGTACAACACTTATACAGAACAATTTTATGATATTAAAACTACTTTTCAGTTACAATAGAAAACATTGTATTTTTTCTGGAACATTAAACATACTCATCATTTCAAGGAAATAAAAAACAAGTTTTTAAACATGAATAATTATGCACTCACTAACTTAAATGTTGATACTCTCTTTTCAAAACACTTGTATTATCAGGGAACCAGTAGACAGGTAAATCCCCGAGATATTTGAGAAGACGGAGCAATATAGAGTCATGTATTCTATCTTTTGATGTATATAACTTTTTGGTGTCGATATACAATGATTGAACAAACATGTAAAAACGTATACTTTATTAATGCAATGGTTGTTGTACTTTGATTACTATAATGCATGTGTTGTGATACTTAACATGAAGTCATTCACCCTAGGACGTTTCCGTCGCTCCGTTTTGGGGGTGTGACACTAGGGGACTTGTTGACGTATCCTACCAAGAATACGTCAATAACGGAACTGTTATATGTTTTGAGCAAAGACCGGGGTATGCCTAACGTTGGTTCACACTCTTGCCCTCGTTTTTGTGATCCCATACTCATTCCTTGGTGCCCAAGCATGAAAGTCGGTGTCGAGACAAAATAGTACTAGTCGTCCCCTTGAGTGATAGGTGTACCACTAAGAACGTCGCTCCTGGCATCCCTGCACCAATGGAAGGCAACTACGTGCGGAGCATGATCTACCAATCAAGGACCATCTTCCCCTGTCACTTCTAAAATAGTAGAAGATTTTGTTGGGGATTTGTCCCCCTGACCACGGGTATAAAAGCTCCTTTCTCCTTCAAGAGAAGGGACTGATGAACAAAGAAAATCTTCTATTCCTTTCAAGAAACCTTCACCTTCTCTCTATAAAATCATCTGACTTGGTCGTCAGAGCTTTGTTCCGGGACCACCACCTGGATGAGGACTGACGGGCTTGTTTCTTTTGTCGTGATTCTCTGGAACTCCATCCCTTCCATCAAAGAGATGTAACTAAGCCAGAGACTTGTCGCAACAATTAATAACACTTCCCAAAATATCCTTGGTCAAACTTGGTTAACGGTCAAATTTAAGGTCAACACCTAACTGAGTCTACCCAGTTGAGCCAACTCAGCCAAGTCGAACCAGACGAGTACGTTGTGCACACTCCTCTGTAAGCGGGGCATACTCGTTGGTTGATCATATGACTAGACTTTGACCACGTACGAACAACGTAACACTTGGTACACCCTGCATACGCGTCTGGTCAGCCCTTTCCCCATTAAGAGCTTAATACACCAAAGTTTCACTTCCAAAGTCAGATCCAAGTCCCAAATAATGTTTTTTACCATAAAGTTTCCAACTTTATGGTCTTGCATGATCAATAAGGTCTTAACATCAAAAACCTCAACCACTTAACCCATTAAGACCTCAAAACACATGCATGGAAGGAAAGATATGATTTAGACTACATTGTTATGCTTCTAGACACCTCAAAGATATGATAAGCAAGCCGAAAGGTACAAACATCTAGTTCCCAAGTTAAAAAAGAGAGAAAATAAAGGAAAAGAAAGTAAGGAGATAAAAGAAGAGAAAAAAAATGAAAATAAATTTGTATTTTGTGTTCCCGAGTTGAAGAGAAATGAGAGGAAAATTAAACATTTTGTTTTTTTCTCTCAAGATCCTTCCAAATGGAAAGAAGGTTGTGACGGAAAATGATCATTCTATTTCCTTTTACTTCATTCCTTTAATGAAACTTAGGAACACCAATTTTTTTTTTTACTTTCTTCCAACTTCCACCGATTTCTTTTCTTTTCCCTCGTTTAGTTGAACTCGGGAACATGGTGAAAATGGCATTTAGAAGAATATGTTTTTAACCGCAATGTTTATATAGTAAAATAACGTATTTTCATGAGGTTTAATAGTTAAGCTTAAGTGGGGTTGTAATGTATATTAATTTTTACCACACACACACACACACACACACACACACATATATATATATATATATATATATATATATAGGTTCAGGTTCATTTGAGACCATTCTAATTTTGTGAGACCGTGAGACCAAATCTAAAAATAATTTTAAAATGCAAAATAAATGGAAAAATCCAAAAATTCTTTTTTAAATATTGTTTTCGGAACTTGAGTTAATTAAAAAAAATAAAAAAAATTACGTTTTTTTTTTTGAAAAATAAGTGAAATATTCTAATTAGAATATTACACTGCCATATTCTAAAAAATAATTTTAAAATGTAGAATAAATTGAAAAATCTAAAAATTTTTTTTTTAAATATTATTTTCGGAACTTGAATTAACTAAAAAAAGATAAAGATAAATAAAAATAAATTCCATTTTTTTTTTTGAAAAATACGTGAAACATTATAATAGAATATTACACTGATATATTCTAAAAAAATAATTTTAAAATACAAAATAAATGGAAAAATCCAAAAATTCTTTTTTTAAATATTATTTTTGGAACTTGAATTAACTAAAAAAAATTAAAAAATAAAAAAATGCATCTCACGGCCTCACAAAATTAGGACGTCTCACATTAACCTAACCATATATATATATATATATATATATATATATATATATATATATATATATATATATATATATATATATATATA